TCATGCAACTTAAAGATAAAATAACCGAACTTACAACTATGGAAGTGTGGCAGACACAAAAATGTGCCTTCCAGACCCCCTTTCAAGAGAGGACTACCTGTCCAGTTGTAAGGAATGCAGCTATCTGACTGCCTCCAGCTGTTGACTTCAGGGTCCATTTTAGCTTTCAAGACATAGTCATACTAACTTAGCTGTTCCCTAATCACTGGGATTTAAGCAAGATGGTAGAAGCAAGGGTCCCATTCTTTTTGGATGACCCTCAGCAAATGACTAAGGCGGCAGTACAAGACTCCAGTTACTTATCTCTAGTGCAGAACTCCTCTTAAAGGCAATCTTTCCTCCAGAACTCCCCATTGGGCTGGCAGAGACCTGTCACATTTGTGTCATAGTCTGGGAGAGCTCCCCTTGTCCAATCCTGCTTCCTCCCTTCTCTTTTCACTGGCATTTCTCTCTAACAAAACTTTTGCATGTTTAACTCCATTTTAGTGTGTGCTTCCCAGGGAACCCAGGTATTAAGAAGATCTAAACCAACTTGACCATTGATCTCTATTCTCTGAATGTTACTATGTGAGAACAAATATTCTTAGCTTAAGAATATCATTTTAAAGATGGAGCATATTGTTTGTTTTCAGTGGATTATCAAACTGAGTTTGTTTACTTTCTTGTGAATGTACAGCTTCACCAGCCATTCTAGAAGCATATTTTGTTCTCCAGTCTGGCACTTCATGGGTCATCTGAGTCTTTTCCAGTCATGATCACCATCCTACGTAACCTTGTCTGCTTCCAGGAGGAGCTAGGAATGGTCAAATGAGCAACAGAGAAAACTATTCTTAAAATGTGTTATGAACTCAGTTTAGTTTAATGTGTCAAATGCTAGAGTATTACATGCAATTTTAGCACAGTCCATTTTTTGGAAGACTCTTGCTGAGGCTTAGCCTTCTTTAGTGATCTCCCAATCAATATGACCCTCGCTTTATGTTCAAAAAATACTAAAGAAGAAAAGGCAGCTGTCTGTTAGGTTATACAGGATTTATTTGGTATCTTCAAAAACCAATCTGAGAAAATTTTCCACTCACTGATTTTAGCTGAGCCACCAAGAAAACAAGAAAATCCTTCTGCAAAATTTTCAATAAGATGATATTATCTAAAGACCTGAAGCGTGAAACCTGGATTACAACAGCTGACCAAAAAAGCAGAATATAATTCCTACAAAACCTAAATAAAAACATAATATATATATATATATAAAACTTATTTAAAAACTAGAAAGTTTTTAAATTTTTAAATTATTTAAAAACTGGAAAATTTTTATTTCTGTAATTCAACAATGCATAAATAACATACATGTAAAATGGTAAAGATAATTCTAAACTATCTAAACTATTAAATTAAGAGTGAAAATACTGAGCTCTTAATTCTGCCCAAAATAAATATTTATTATAGTCTGTAGATTTTATGTCCTTCTATGTCTTATGTCCAAGAATGACTCTTTCAGTTATTATTATTTTTTATTACACTACAGAATTAATTTTTTTAAAACAAACATGGATTGAAAGTTCTACAGGTCTGCCACTGAAAAACTTCATACTTAATTATATGTAAATTTTGATACTTGAGTACAAAGAATTAAGTGTGTTCACAAAATCATACCATCACTATATTGCAAAAGTGAATGCGCAAGCTTTTTCATCTATTCTAGACATTTAGGTTCACTGTGGTAGATAGCAAACATGGCCACAAAACATTCCCTCTCCCTATACCCACCACCATTTTCAACAGGACTTAGTTGCTCCTCCTATCAAGAAGTAGAGTTTATTTACCCATTCACTGAATTTGTGCCAGCTCCTGACTTCTCTGGCCAATGAAACAGCAGCAAACATAATATAAGCAGAGACTTGAAAAGTGTCTTACTTTGGGGCTTGCCCTTCTGCTGGTATCAGAACTCCATAACTACTATGGAATCAAGCATCTGAAAAACCACATGGAGGGAGACCACAGTCATCCCAGCTGGGACCATCATGAACCACACAGCCCCAGCCAATCTACCAGTTGACTGTAGATGCATAAGTAAACCTAGCCAAGATCAGCTGACCCTAGCAGAGATAAAGATTCACCCAGCTGAGCCTAGCCCAAATTACCATCCTGCAGAATAATGTGCTAAATAGATGACGGCTGTTTTAACCCACTAAGTTTGGGGTAATATTTGACAGAGCAATGGGTAACTGATATACTCATCTATAACTTTTTACTGTTTATAGAATAGTTACTATATTATTGAAAAACTGAAGTATACATGAGCACCAATATGAGGAAAATGTAATCAAGAATCAAGTAGATTTGTACAATGACCATTATTCTACAAGCTGGCCTTTTCTACAGATTCTTCTTCTATGTAATAAGAATAGCCAAGAGAACATTTCACAGACAAGAGAGAGCAGTGAACATGGAATCTTAACAATCTCTATAAAAATTTAAAGATTACATCCTGAAAGTATACTATGTACTTGTTATTTAACTTTCCTAAACAGAATGATTTTAGGATTCCTTAAGGTCCAAGTATTAGTGATTATGTTATAAAAACTTATTTGGATTTTTTTTAACCTAGCAATTTACTACGGTAAAATATGGTACAAGAAAACTAGCTGTCCAAGACCCTACCTTTCCAGAAATTTTAGCTTCCCACAGAAATGACCACTTACATAAATAAATGGGGTCTCTAAGGAAAATAAAACAATATTCCCAAAAAAGGCTGACGATTATTATCTATGTTTAACATGCTGTGATCTAGTTGGCTTGCATCACAACAGGAAAACAGTGCTTAAAGGCTGATGATACATATAAGAGCACATCTTTTCAAGCGGAAATTGATAAACATAGTGTTGTATAATTTTGCTGGCCTTTGTCCCTGCTTCCTAGAAGGGAGACTCTAAAACCTTGGAATTTCCCAGATGACAGGAGTGTCTTCATATTCATGGTGGGTCCGTTGAGTTTATGTTAACAGGATGACTTGCTGTGCACACTTAGATAATTTGAGGATGAGGGCTGGCCAACTTGGAAAGATGAGCCATGTGATTAGAGGAGTGTCTTCATATTCATGGTGGGTCCGTTGAGTTTATGTTAACAGGATGACTTGCTGTGAACACTTAGATAATTTGAGGATGAGGGCTGGCCAACTTGGAAAGATGAGCCATGTGATTAAAAGGTTTGGGCTTTCAGCTACTACCACAGAATATCAGCCCAACCTCCCAGGGCAGGGCAGGAAAGCAAGGGGACTGGAGATTGAGTTCAATTACATGGCCAGTGATTCAAATAATCATGCCTATGTAATGAAACCCCAATAAAAACTCTGGACACCCAAAGCTCAAGTGAGCTTCCTCATTGGTGATACACCCTGATGTGCTAAGAGGGCGAGGTGAGTCCCAGAGACATGAAATCTTCGCATTTAGGATTCTCCTACATGTAACCCAATGCATCTCCTTATTGGACTGGTCCTGATTTGCATCCTTTAAAATAAAACTATAATCATAAATATAAGGCTTTCCTGAATTCTGTGAGTTGTTCTAGCAAATTATCAAACCTGAAGGGGGAGTGGGAACCTGTAGCCAGTTGGTCAGAAGTGCAGGTGGCCTGGGAATCCAATAGATTGAGGCTAGTATCTAGGGTGAGGAGAGTGTTGTGAAGAACTGTGTCCTTCATCTGTGGAATGTGACCTAACTCCTCATAGAGTCAGAATTTCACTGCACATGGTAAAAGCAACTAAATAACAAAGACATAAAAAAGCAGAGAGAAAACAAGGTTAATAGTCAGCAAAAATGGTAGTCAGAGTTAGGAATAAGCACAGCAAAAAAAAAAAAAAAAAAACAGTAGCAAAGGCAAAAGAGAAAATTAGAGATGACAATGGAAGAACTGGTAGTGACAACGGAAGTGAAGTTGGGGGATTAGGATGGCATGAAATGTGTACACTTAATAAGTCTTTGGAGTCATTCATTCACTTACTATCTATTAATTACCTGCTACATGTAAGGCACTGTGCTAGGTACTAAGAATACTGTAGTGAGTAAGCAAAACAGCCCCAATCTCATGAAGTTTACATTCTAGAGGGGAAGACAAATATTAAGTAGTTATACCATTAATTTTGTAACTGTCATTGTGACACATGCTACAAAAAATAAGTATATAGTTGAATAAGGGATTAATAAACAGATACATAGATCAGCAATAAGCTAAGTCTATAGCCCTAAGACCTGTACACCTTTATCTCTATTTGCAAATATAGCAAACACAATATTATGCATGTTAGTAGGGAAGTAAGAATAATATAACTTTAAAGAGGTTTCCTCAGTAACAAAAACTTCAGATTAAATTCTTACCTTACCCTCCACTTAAAACAGCACATTTCCGGTAGGCACCTGATATTTAAACATTTAACATACTTGTTTTTCAAATTCAGGTTCACCTTAACTTATGGTTATAACTCCCACCCAAATTTTAAAGTCATATATTTCTCAGAACTCAAAAAACAAACAAACAAATATAATCCTCAGATTGCCAGATATAACACCCTGACTTTGGGTAAAAAAGACTTCAGATACATGTCCATCAATGCAGAGGTCAATTTCAGTTTCTATTAAATGTTACTAATGATCAGAGTTTTGAAATTTTTAGGAAAGATGTATTAATTTTTTTTTTTTTCCTTTTTGTCTTTTTCCGTGTCCGGCAACGGCTCAGTGTCGCCACCGGACCGGACCGGGACCAGCAACGGGATCGCAACCCTCGGTGCTGCTCCCGCGCCTTGCTCAGCCAGTGAGCGGGAACTGGTCTGTATGTGGGATCCGAACCCTTGGCAGGAGCGCCACCACACTTCCCAAGCGGCGCACTACAGCAGTGCACCACCGGGCCGGCCCAAAGATGTATTAATTTTAAAGTTGTTTGTTTTTAATATAAAATTCCCTAAAAACTCTTTCCAAACAGTAGTCAATTAGACAACTAGAATCTCTTACCTGTAGTTATCTAACTGTACCAGAAATCGTACAATGTCATGATGAGCTTTGAGTACAAGCAGTTCAGTGTAGGGGTTCTGGGTTTGCTCTTCTCCTACTGTCTGTAAGGGAGATTTCTTACATTGGAAAAAAAACAAGCAAAAAAAAGAACAGAGAAAAAGATAAAATGATTTATGACAAAAGACCATATTGGAATATAACTGCATGGTATACATCTAAAAATACAAGATTTAAAAAGCCCTAAGGTATCATGTTCTCATACTAAGTATTATTTCCCCTAATATCAACTTAATAACTGCCAATTCCACATAAAACACTTCCCTTACCACAAATTCATGCCCATAAACTTTAGTAATTTCAAGTCACAAAAGGGTGAAAATTGTGTGTCAATAAACCTCACTTAAAAAGTTATTGGGCCTATTCAACCCAGTATTTTAGAATGTTTCTCAATTGAAACCTGTCAGGAACAAAACTGCAAATCAAAGGGGTAAAATACAGACTAAAACAGTGCTTAGCCCATTATAAGCACTGAATACATGTTTATTGAATGAATTAAAGACAGAATGAAATCAATTTAGACTCAATGAATTCAACTCTGGACAATATATTGATAAAGCTAATTGCTAACAATTACAGAGGACTGTATTATGTGCCAGTCTATATGCCAGAGACTGTGCTAAGCACTTATGCCATGTAACTTACTTAATACTTCTGTAAAACAGGTCTCATTAACCCCATTTTGGAGTCAAACCCAGTACTATTTCATAATCAAACCTTTGTTCTTAACCTCTAAACCAGGGTTTCTCAAACTTGACACTACTGACATTTTGGACCAGATAATTTTTTGTTGTTAAGGGCCGTCTTGTGCATTGTAAGATATTTAGTAGCATTCCAAGTCCTACAGGCTAGATGCCAATAGGAACGTCCCCCTATCCCAACTCCCTCCCCCCAAGTTGTGATAATCAAAAATGTGTCCAGACATTGCCAACGTTCTCTGCTGGACAAAATCAGCCCAGTGGGAACCACTGCTTAAACTAAAAGCCTGGATACAAAGTTCTTGCATAAACTAGGGAAAACCATAGGTTCTTATAATGTACAAATTCACAGCAGTTATACAGCTGAAGTACTTTTATATGAAATGTATAAATTAACATGCATAAATGTTTTTCGAAAAAATCCACCCCAAAGCAGTAATTTTGTATTTATCCCCTCTCCCTTCTAGCAGAGGTTCTGATGAGAAAAACAAAAGTGAGAAATCTGAAAACTGTATAAACTGCTTCATCCCAAATGAAAGCTTGCCAAGAATGGCAGAAGTGGTTGATCAAATTATACGATTAATCAAATAATCGTTTTAATACAAAATTGTCATATACATCGTGCATGTATATGGCTATTCTATGATCCACAATTCTTCCATAAGCTGAGGATTTCAGGTAAGGAATTTTTTTAAATAGACAATAAACCTCAACTGCAAAGAGGAAGTTAAAACTGAGAAGTAGGGTGCTTACTCACAATAATCCAATTTTTTACTTTTAACAGTCAAAACAAATACTTCCTATAAGAAACAAAATGGAATTCAACACAAATTCTGTTCTTGCGTGTCATATAAATTCCAGACCTCAACATTTTTAAGGCTGCAAAATTATTTTATTCACATTTCAAATGTAAATCTCATTAAACGGTCTGTTCAGGCCCACAAAGAAAGTGTGACTATGGAGCCAAAAACAGCAGTTAATTAGAAAATTATTTTCTTCAATTTGAAGCAAATTATTTTTAAAAAATCAGTATGTCCCTTTTTTTGGTTCTTAGATAAATAATCAATTTAATTCTCTATTCCTTGAGCAAGTGTCAGTTGATGTTGGGAAGGGGTACCAATCAAATAAACCAGAAGTGGAAAGTGGCAGTCACCACTTGTTCGTTTCTAGCTACGTCGGATACCTTTTTAAATTGAAATGAGGCTGGTTTAAGTAGCCAGAAGACCTGAGGGGACCGATGACTAGCTGAGCTCTGCTTGCATTTCCCCACCTGCTGACACAGGGCGATATAACTCACAGCGCCCGCAGGCGGGGCCGAGGCGTCTGGAGAAGCTCCAGAAAGCGGCCCTTGTACCGTCACCCCTGGCGGCCGCGGGGCAGCGCAGCGCGTGCTCGCTGCAGGCCCCGCCTCTGCCTGGGCCCCGCCGCCGGGACCCCGTGAGCCTGCTCAGGCCGAAGGCGCTGCCCGGGCAAGCTCGGCCTCTGCGGGTGCAGGGAATGTCCGCCCGGGTTTACCTCGGCCAGTCCCGGAGGTTCTCGGCCTCCGCCGATCAGCCATCGCAACATCCGGGCAGCGGCGGAGTCTGGGCGGGTCCAGGCCCCAGTCAGGCTGAGCTGCGCTCGGGCTCGGCCTCCTCCTGCCGCCTGGGCAATACCGCGATGGCGACGCTTGTACTTGCCGCCCCAGGTTTGGCCACGGGGCATAGGAGTGCAGAGCACAGAGTAAGGAAGAGGGAAGATTTTTGTCCCCTAAGCGCTCTCGTATCACCCACTGAGGCTTAGTTTGGGCAGCCGTCCAGGGAAACAGAGCGGCGGCGATTCCTAGACGCGCACAGCTCCGACTGAGCACGCGCAGGGGCGCCGCCCGGTAGCGCCCGGAGCTTGGGTCACTCGAGCGGCCCCTGGTGGACGCACGCGGCGCAGCTACCGGAACTCGACGAGCCAGCGCGAGTTAGATGGCGTTAGTATCCTTCACTCGGCTGGCGACCAGGAGACCTCCCCTGTTTTCCCAAGAGCTGGCTGGTGAAGGTGCAACGCAGTAGGAATGTGCATCCGAACGAATCCAGTGACACGTGTGTACACCAGCATAAATCAGACCAATATTTACTGTGTGCTATAGGACAGGTACTGTACTAAGGCTTTACATAAATCCTCATAGTAACCCTACAGCCCCTGTTTTGTAGATCAAGAAACTGAAGCTCTGAACGATTAGGTCATTTGCCTAAGGATAACAGCTACGAAGTGGCTGCATTGGGGTTGGAACCAATCTCCAAGCTCCAAAACTAGTGTTTTTGACTATATGCTGTACAGTCTAATATAAAATCTCCCTGAAGGCACTTTCTATACTTTATTTTGATTACTAAATTTTCTTAGGTAGTCAAAGGGCTGTGGTTCTCTACCCTAACTGTATATCAGAATTACCTAAGTAGCTTTTGAAAAACGTAGATTTCTTGCTTCTACCAAAATGTATGTGGTTAGAATATAGGAATCAGGGTTTTGCGACATTCCTCAGATGATTTTAAGTAGCAAAGTTTGAGAATCATTAGTCTAGGGACTACTTATTCATACTAATATGTTCGTAATAGTTCATCCATATATTTGCATATGTATTTATTAAGGTCAAATGAGGTTCCTAAGCAGTAAATTATTGTAGAGAACCTACAGCAAATGTCCCAGTCAATACATTAATTCAACAAACATGTATTGGCCATAGATGCACTACAGATGCAAAAAGGAATATAAAATCTCTGCTCTCTAGAGACAAGGAAGAATGTCCTAGGCACCAGTAAGAGAGGGCCATACATCCTACTTTAAGTTATATTAGTGTGGGCAGCTGCCCAACCTAACCACCAGTCCCCAAAGAACTGGGATCTTCTGCAATTCATCTTTGTATTTATGTCCAGTGCACTTGGCAAGGAAACATTCTCAAGGAGTAGGAGCAGGTTGCCTTTTATGTGCTAGCCCGAAATTTCAGTCTACATGCAGTTGAAAACATACCAAAATAGAGACTGGCCCCTGCAAAAAGGCAACTTATCTGTAGTGAAACAAATCCCAGGAACACCAGGATTTCAGTTCTGGAATGAATATCTTTAATGAGGCAACATGGTTTTGCAGAGATCCTAAATTTTATGCTTCTGATTTCCCACATTCTTTGGGAGTCTGCCCAGTGTCATGTTACTCTGATCTAAGGAACACTGTGCCGGTCCTTTAAAGATCTGATTCAGAAGTGAACACTTCCCAGAAGAAAAAACATGAAGAAAAACTAACAGAGACTAAGGGACCTGTGGAACACCATCAAGTAGATCGACATATGGTGGAAACCTCAGAAAGAGAAGATAAAGGGGCAGAAATAATATCTGAAGAAATAATGACTGAAAATTACCAAATTTAATGAAAGGTATTAATTCTACAAATCCAGAAGTTCAATGAACCCCAAGTAGAATAAACTTAAAGACACCATGCTGAAATACATCATAATCAAACTGTTGGAAGACAAAGAAAAAGGGAGAATCTTGAAAGCAGCAAGAGAGAAGCAATTCATCACTTACAAGGGATCCTCAATAAGATTATCAACTGCATTCTCATCAGAAACCTTGTAGGCTAGAAGGCAGTGGGTTGGTATATTTAATGTGCTTAAAGGAAACTAAAAAAACCCTGTCAACCAACAGTTCTGTGTCCAGCAACACTGCCCTTTAAAAATAAAGGAGAAGTAAGATATTCTTGGATAAGCAAAAATTGAAGGAGTTTATTATCACGAGACTTGCCCTGTGGTAGAAATACTAAAGGAAGTCCTTCAGCATTCAGAAATGCTAAAGGGAGTCCTCAAGCTGAGATGAAAGGATGCTAGACAGTAACTTAAAACCTCATGAAGAAATAAAGATCTCTGGTAAAGGTAAATACATGTGCAATTACAAAAGATAGTATTATTATAATTTTGGTTTATACCACTTTTTATTTTTACAAGATTTAAAAGACAAATAATTTTTTAAAAATTATTAATTTATATTATTGGGCACACAATGTATAAAGGTGTAATTTGTGACATCGATAGAAAGGGTGGAAAGGAGGTGTACAGGAGCAGAGTTTTTGTATGTTATTGAAGTTAAGTTGGTATAAATTCAAATTATATTGTTATAACTTTGGGATGTTAAATGTAATCCTCATGGCAACCACAAATAATATCTGTAGAATGTGCTAAAAAGGAAATTTGGGAATCAAAACATTCTCTACAAAAATAAACACAACACAAAAGAAGGCAGTAATGAAGAAAATGAAAGACAAAAAACCTATAAGTCATGTAGAAAACAAATAGCAAAATGGCAGAAGTAAGTTCCTCCTTATCAGTAATTATCCTAAATGTAAATGGATTCGACTTTCCATACAAAAGACAGACTATTAAAACAAAAAATGGAAAAACCATTATCCTAGCTCAGTTGGTTAGAGCACAGCCTTATAACATCAAGGTCACGGGTTTGGATCCCCATATCAGCCAGCCAGCAAACAAAAACCAAAGCAAAAAAACCCAAAAAAGCCCCATGATCCAATTATATGCTGCCTACAGGATATTCACTTTAGATCCAAAGACACAAACAGATCAAAAGTGAAAGGATGGAAAAGATATTCCATGCAAATAATAACCAAAAGAGAGCTAAAGTAGCTATACTAGTATCAGACAAAAAGACTTTAAATCAAAAAGTTTATAAGATAAAGAAGGACATTATATTATATATTAATAAAAGGTTCAGTACAGCAAGGAGATATAATAATTACAAATATTTACATACCTAACAACATCAAAATTTATGAAGCAAAAATTGACAGAATTGAAGGGAGAAATAGTTCTACAATAATAGTTGTAGACTTCAATAGCCCATGCTCAATAAACAGAAGTAAGAAAATAAAGGACTTTAACAACACAATAAACCAACTAGATCTAACAGACATATACAGAATGTTCTACCCAACAACAATAGAATACCCATGCTTCTCAAGCAGGCATAGGACATTCTCTTAGACAGACCATATGTTAAGCCACAAAACAGGTCATAATAGATTTTAAAAGAGATATCATACAAAGTATCTTCTCTGACCACAACAGAATGAAGTTAGAAATCAATGACAGAAGTAAAACTGAAAATTTCAGAAATATGTTTAAATTAAACAAAACAAACCACCAATGGGTCAAAGAAGAAAACACAAGAGAAATTATAAAATACCTACAGACAAATGAAAATACAACATGCCAAAATTTATGGGATGCAGTAAAAGCAGTGCTCAAAGGGAAATTTATATCTATAAATGCCTACGTCAAAAAAGATCTGGAGCTTCCAGATAGCGGAACACATGGAGTTTCCTGGAGGTGGCATGGAAGCTCTATGCCCCTTCCCTTAAACCTCATCCTATGCATTTCTTCCTCTGTATCCTTTGTAATATCCTTTATAATAAACTGGTAAACATGACACTTACGATTTGCCCAGTACACTGGATTTCAAACTGATATACATGTCTCACAAAGTGTACAATGACTTTTGAAGAGGTTCTGACTCCTCAGGAGCAAAAGAATCACATAAAGGAGGAGGAAGTTACAGGATTTGGGTATCCACATTTCTGGGGACACATTTGATTCAAGACTGAGATTTCTGGATAGAAATTGAGAGCAGATCCAGAAGACACACAAAGACAGAGCATCCCAGTTACCAGCTATTTTCTGAGAACAGAAGAAGATGATCCAGGCCCAGAACATAGCAGCCAACTTTAAGGGACTCTCTACTGACCTAAGATTTTGAGCATCCAAAGACCAATGACTGCAATTGGTTGAAGAACCTTAAGTACATAAAATTCCATCAGTTCATACTAATACTTAAAAAATATATAATTCATTTGTCACTATTTGAGGTTGGGAGAGAACAAAGTATTTAATCGGCAAATTAATAAAGGAACATAAACATGTTCTTTTTTGTGGGAGAGGGTTGACTGTGACTTTTAAAAACATATTCTCTATATCTATAATTTTTTTATCTTGAGAATGTGATGTAAATGGAATCATGTATTGTGTAACCTTTTGAAATTTAAGTGGATTAGTGGTTGCTAGGGATTTGGGGTGGGGATAGGAGGAATATGGCTGTGGCTATAAAAGAGTGCCATGATGGAACTGTTCTGTATCTTGATTATGGTGATGGCTACATGAATTTACACATGATAAAATTGCATAGGGTTAAGTAAACACACAAATGAGTGCATTTAATCTGGTAAATCTGAATAAGAATTGCATCAGTGTCAATATCCTGGTTGTAACTATTGTTTTATAGTTACGCAAGATGTTACCATTAGGAGAAACTAGGTGAAAGGTATATGTGCTCTCTCTGCATTATTTCTTACAACTGTATATGATAATTATCTTAAAAAGAAAATACATTTATTATATATAAACAAAATAATATAGTCAATGTAAAAATATCATCTAAGACTCATTGATAAAATCAAGACTCCTTGACCAGTACTCTCATATATATGACCCTTCCTCCAAAAGGAACCAATGTACCAGTTTAATCTCCATCCTCCAGACTATTTTCAGTGTAAGCATAGTTTTTTGTTGTTGTTGTTTGTTTTTGTTGTTATTTTAAAAGGAACCATACTAATATTTATTATACCTGTTTTTTCCCTTCAAAGTGTATTTGCATTCTTTATGTGTTAGTACATGCCAATCTACCTTCTTCTTTTTGATTGTACTGTCATCTAACTGATGTGTGGCCCTTAATTTAACTCTTCCCCTATTGATGAACATTTAGGTAATTTTTTATTACAAACTACCCAACAGTGCACATACTTTTTAAAAG